ACAGGGGTGCTTATATTCCATTAAAACTTTATGTACAAAAAAGAAGTTTGGCCCAAGGGCCAGAGTTTGCCAACCCCTGAAAATTTGAATCTGAATATCTTTGGACAGGCTTGTATTTGCCAGTTCCTCACAAGCTCTACTCCCCATCTCACACCCCCATCAGTTCTCACTATGATTCCTATCTGACCCCAATATTGATATTAGTAAGAGCAACAAACATTTATTTAGACTTACTGTGTTCCAGGCCCTATTCTAAGAACTGGACATGTATTAACTCATTTAATCACTACAGAAACTCTATTATCATCCCCATGAAAAACGAGGCCAAGTGAAGTTAAATAACTTGCCCAAGATCAGGCCGCTGGTGGCAAAGGCAGGACTGGAATCCAGCTGTCTGGCTCTGATTCTGTGCTCTCGATCGCTATGCCGCTCTGCCCAGCAGCTCCCGACTGCACAAACCAGGACAGCAGATGACGTGGAAGACTCGGGGCACCTCTCACCTCCTCTCAGAGCCCACACGTTACCCCACTCTACAGGGCCAGGCACCCGAGACTAGAAGTAGCAAGGCCTGCAAATGTACTTAGTAGAACATGAGATTGGGAGGTGACTGGAATCAGGCACCAACAGTAGTACACAGAGACACGATAGCTGGCAGTCTGACAGGAGCAGCAGGAGTGAAAAGTAGCGAGAAAAAATTATTTATTCACTGATGAGTCAGCTACTCAGCGCCAAGCACTCTCCACGATCCCAAACATCCCAAGGCCTTGTTACTCAAAGTGCTTTTATCAACAGCTCATCAGCATCACCTGGGTGCTTGCAGAAATGCAGAGTCTCCAGCCACATCCAGAGGGTCTGAATCAGAATCAGCATTTTAGCAGGTCCCAGGTGATCCCCATGCACTCTTCAGGCTGAGAAGCCCTGCTCTATGTGGGAATTGTTACTGGTCCCACTTCAAAGGCCAGGAACCCAAGGCTCAAAACAGTGCTTGACCTCACAAGCTCATGAGTTGCAGGCTCAAGCCTGAACCCCAGTTTGTGGTTTGGAGGCTACGGTCATTCCCCCGAGGTACTCAAAGCAAAGCCTTCAGGACATACACCTCAGCAGCAAATGTGCATCAGGACATACTAACTGCATCAGGGTGGGCTCACGAATAAGTAAAATCTGACCCTGCATCGTGAACAGTCACGCCCAGGATAGTATTTTTTAAAGAAACTTGGAAATGATATAGTTAAGCAAGACTTCAATTAATTTCAATTTCCACAATTTTCAATATCTCTTCTTTGTACAAAATTGACTAATTTTTCATTCCCTGATGACTTTAGGTAACAGGATGTTGAAGGACTTTGAAGTCGGCCACACTGGACAGACTTCTCTTCCTTTTCTAGGCACATGTGTTAGCTGGAGCCAATGCCCCAGAGGCAGAAGTCAAGAACCTAGAAAAATGGGTTCTTGGGCTAAGAAAGAGATTTGTACTTGGGATTAGACTGTAAGAAGTCTCATTTGATGCTAAGGGGCTTGGGCTGAGATGCTTCCTGAGTTGAAGTTCAGGATTCTGGAGTCAGACAACAAGGTCTCCTCCCTCCCACCCATCTCTCCACCATGTCCTATAGCATCAGGACAAGACTGCAGGGTGCCTCAGCCGTGAAGTGGAGGCCAGAGGGTGGCATTAAGGAGGTAGCCTGTTCCTCCTAGTGTCTCTATTTAACAGACTGTCTTTCTTGCTAGGCATTTGGAACACAGGGAAGACACATATGTTTTAGTAGATATCCTTGATTTGAATATAAGGAGCAGAAAACATTCAGGATCCTGCAAGGGAACGCTGTGATAAAAGGATATATGATCCGGAAAAAAAAAGCTTCCAGGAACTCCAGCAGCTACTTTTTCTTTCTCTCCAGGTTGCATGGGTTGTTTCCGTCTGTCTGCCTGTCTTCCTACCTGGCCCGTGCAAAGCCCCTCACATCGCTTGCAGTGGCACCTCTCCTCTCTGCAGCTCTGCTCAATTATCCTCTCAACACAACAACCCTCTCCCTTTCCAGATCAGTCCTGCTTCCTCATCAATAGACTCCAGGAAGCCTTCTGCCTTGCCCTCATCGCAACTCTGGGCATAGCCTTTTAATTTCTGACCCTTTGGCTCACTGTCACTGTCCTTCTGTTTTCCAGTGGGAGTGAAGAATCTCATTGATCCAGCTTGGCTTTCTGAGGCAGAATCACAGTTGCCAACCACCAATGTGCTGGACTGCCTTGGGTCAGAGAGACAATCCCCCAGGCCAATCAGTCACGGGCGGAGGGGTCACGTGGTGGCACTCCCCACGCAAGTGCACCAGCAGGTGGGGAGAGTCCCACAAAAGGCGGGAAGGATGGTGGAGTAGGATTGACAGCACAGCAGTATCTGCAGAGTTTCAGTGAGTCCTAGAATCTGAGGGTGAGGGAGGACCTCCCACATCATTTGGTCCACATGCCCCGACTGCAGTCCTGGTCCTCCCAGGACTGACAGTGTCACTGCCCTCCTAGAGATCTCTGAGACAAAGGAGGTGGGGTGTGGGGAGGAGATGGGGCCAGGGATGGGAAAAGTGACTTACAAAACTTCCTGCTGTTTATGGTCGGTGTTGCTGCAACTATTGCACTGTTTTCCACGCACTTTCACTAGATACTATGGGACAGAGACCCTTTGGAAAAAGAAACTAAACTTTCACATTCTGTGCTGAGTTCAAAACTTTGAGACGATGCCCTGAATTTATGTGAAAACTTTACAGTATTTTTCATCTTTTTGAACCTTCCTTATCAAAGAATACTGGGTAATAATGAGGTAATAAAATTGAAATAACCCCCCAGGTTTTTGGTATTGAGACCAAGTCTCATGCAGACACAATGCCATTCAGCCTATTGTAATACTTGGGCGACACATCGTAAGAGGAAGGCTGGATCATCTGTGGAGTTTCAGGATTTGCAAATCATGCTCCAATTCACCTGGGCCAAGATGGTTAACACTGTTGGGATTCTGACTGGCATCAAGGAAATCATCCTTTTAGTGGCAGTATTACTTCATCCAAAAAAAAAAAGGTGACCAAAATGCTTTCAGAACCAATTTATCATTTTGTTTTTCTAAAGAAACTGAAAACGGAGGAAGCTACACTTGGTTCTAAAACAGAAGTGATGTAAGTCCAAGGTCAAGTCCACGTTGACAAGCCAACTATTTTCTTCAAGCCGGTACAGAGGGGAGAAGGGAGTTACACCTTTTTTTATTTTTTTAATTTTTGGTGAGGAAGATTGGCCCTGAGCTAACATCTGTTGCCAATCTGCCTCTATTTTATAGGTGGGATGCCACCACAGCATGGCTTGATGAGTGGTGTGTAGATCCATGCCTGGGATCCAAACCTGCCAACCCTGGGCCATGGAAGTGGAGTGCCTGAACTTAACCACTATGCCACCAGGCCGGCCTGAACATCTTTTTTTAAAGAGCCAGCGTCTTCCTAAAACCAGTGCCAGGACCCACGCATTTCACAGCCCAGCTGAGAATGAGCACACCCAATGTGTCCTTGTTCACCCAAGTTCAGCTGAAAGTCAGCTGAAAAATGCTCTGCTAACACAAAGCAGATTTTGATTCAAAGGAAGCAAAGATGCATAAATTCATGGGAACCTCTTAAATAACCATTTACAATCTTGACTGATTTTATTTTACTTGAGAGGAGAAAATGTGGAATGATATATGTAGATAATAAATCTTCTTTACCAGCCCAGGTTTCTCAACCTCGGCATTACAGATATCTTGTGCCAGGTAACTCTTGGTGTGGAGCTGTCCTCTGCACTACTGGATGCTTACTTAGCAGCATCCCTGACCTCTACTCACTAGAGGTCAGTGGTACCTCCCCCATCAGTCATGACAACCAAAATTGTCTCTAGACATTGCCAAATGTCCCCTGGGGGGTGAAACTGCCCACAGCTGACAAACACTGTACTAAACTAAGACAAAATTCTAGCTGTTTAAAGCAAAGACAGTTATCTGGAATTAAATCGGCTTTTTCTTTTCTGAACATGGGATCAGAAAACCAACAGCAGGGAACTCCTCACCCTGTACAGCACCTGTGCTCCCTCGGTGGTCGGATCTCTAACTTCCTCAATAAGGGAGATGTATTAACATGAACCCACAGTTCCTGATCATTCCGGAAAGCGATTAACTTTTACGTTTAGGAAGAGGTATGTTTTGAAGCCCTGGAGACCATTCCATCCTATACAAACGTGTCCTGAAAAATTTACGACATTTGCATACTAAGGCGGACTTCCCGTATAAAAAGATTTGCATGTCGTGTCAATAGATCCTACTCTAATCCGGTTCCTCTTCAGTTGCACCCTCCCGGATGCACTCTGCATATTATCCAGGAGGGCCAAAGGGACCTTTAGGACCCAACAGCCCAACAATTTCGGAAAACCTGGCTCAGGCTGCACCAAGAATGTCATTTGGTCCAAGATGTCCCTGAGCAAAGTGCCCACAATCGGCCCCAGCAGGGACGTCCCTTTCCCCGTTGAATACTGACCACTGTGAGTGCTGACCACAGCCAAGAGGACAGGAAGGCCACTGCACTCCCCTGGCAAAGCGAGCTGTCAACCTTTACACCCCTCTGCCAGAAGGCAGAGGCAAAGAGTCACTTGGTAAAGGGTCTCTCTGTGCAATGTCTTGCTCCAGAAAGATATCCAGCCCCTGTGGGGCCCTGGCTTTCAGAAGCAAGTACAGAATGTGAAAGAAACTGTAATGTGTTATTTCACACATGCAAAGAGTAAAGGGCTTTGTCATGCAGCCATCATATGGATGAGCAGGTACAGCCCTTATTTGATACCCAAATGCTGAGCAACCAAATCCTCGAATATTCTTGTTTACTTCTAAGCAGATCCTATTAAGCCCTGGGCACTTGGCTTGATTACTCCCTGGATCAAAGTTAAATTAAATTACCCAACAAGCTTCTTTCCAGAGAGAGACACACACACATGCACACAGACTGACTCACCTTCCAGAAGCTATCCACTTTGCCATACACAAGGGACTGGTTCTGCCTTTTGATTTCGTTAATGTGGTGGATGTCGCTGGAGTTCAGGTGCTGCTCCACCACAAACCCCAGAAAGCTGTTGTCTGGGGTATGAGCTGATGTGGAAGGGAAAGGACAGGGCAGTTAGGATGTCATCAGCGAGAAGAAACAACAGTAATTACAAATTTAATACAAGCCATCTCAGACACAATTAAATGTTTTCACTTTAATCTGTTGTTCCTTACCTGGGAGGGGCGAGGGACTGCCTGCTCCCACATATCCCCAGTAAAACCTTCACGTGAGAATAATTCCAGGATGGATTACCAAATCCTGCTCTTTTTAGCAGAAAATACATCTGTCTGAAAATCACTCAGCTGCGCGCTCTCCCCCTTCCTGTTGCCTCAGCACAAGGCTACTGCCTCCTGACAGAAATGTCCTCACCCAGGTTGTACCAACTAAAGGACAGAAATTTCTAGGGAGCAAGGCTGAATCAATGGTTCTCGGCAGGGCTAGGGGTCCCAGACAACCCGATCCGACGCCAGCTGTGTTCAACTGTCCAGCTGGGTAAAAGGGGATGTGGGGGCAAAACCAAGCAACATCACCCCAACCTTGCATGTCCTCTAAGAATCACTCACTAATGAAAGATGTCATTATGGGGCTATGCTGAAGGGATAGAAGGAAGACAGAATAAAAGGTGAGGCTCACTGGGATGGAAACCAACCCCAAAAGTCAACCACCCCCAAAGGTCAACTACCCCAAGGAACGCTATCTAGTCTACAGAAGAGACTTTTCTGGAAGAGAAAAAGCATTTTCCTCTGGATCTCTCTCATCATTTGAGTTCTACATCTTCCCCATTTTGATGCCTGACCAAGGGGGAAAGCGATCCCACACCCTCCCCAAACATGTGTCACTTGTGCCTATTAATTTTCAAAGGAATTTCACCAGAAGGCAACACTCAAAAACCCTGCTCTCCAATACATTCATTCTGTCCAGAGAAATCTGTTTTTCAGATGACCCTGCAGAGGCCCCACAATATTAAATGAAGCAACTGCTCTGCTTGACTCTGACCTGAACAGAACAGCTATAAATAACTTAAAATGAAAGATACTCCATATTCAGTGAAATCCACACACTGCAGCTTCAACCATAGTCATTCACAGGGTGGTCAACAAACGCAGAAGTTGGTTCCTTTGTCTTGTTCTGGTTTTTTCGGGACTCAGGAGCCCTTTCCCAGGCAGGAAGCAGGCCCAGAAGCCCTTTAAGTTGGGCAGGGGTGGGTCTGCAGCAAAGGCCTAAGGATCTGAAGCCCTGGGCCCGCTCTCATACGCCCCACACGAAGATGAACAAGGCAACCCGGCAGAGCGCTGTGAACTGTGGAGATGAATGAGCTGCATAAATACTGTGTTATCACCATCAGTCTCCCAGGCTTTTGCCTAATGGGGGTGACAGAATGAGGAGATAATAGGGTTGTGACTGGGGAGTTGTGCTCGGCCTGGCCAATCTGTTATTTCATTTCTGCATTTTTGAACAAGTGCCCAGAGGCAATGGCAATGGCTGCAGTTTGCTGGAAAGTAAATTACTGAATAAATTCTACTGCCAACAAGAGGCAGTAGTTGCTTTTTTTTTTTCCTTTTTGAGGAGCTGTGGGGGAGGGGATTTGAAGGACTATGGGGGAGGGGAAGACAGCCTGTGTGCATATGACATGTCAATAAGGCAACTTAAAATACTTCTTTGTAAACTTTTGGTTAATAGTAAAAATTCTGAAATAGAATCTGACACTTTAAACTTTGAGATCAGGTTTTTTTTAACCTTCAGAAAATTTCTGTGGTGACTAAAGGTCCATGCTTTGATATTTATCTCTGCAATTCAGTCATCTAGTCCCTATGTGGGCACTTTTTTAAAAAACTAAATAATCTAAGGGCTGGCCGCATGGCCTAGTGGTTACGTTCGCTGTGCTCCGCTTTGACAATGCAGGTTCTGTTCCCAGGTACAGACCTAAACCACTCGTCTGTTAGCGGCCATGCTGTAGTGGCGGCTCACATACAAAAACAGGAAGATTGGCACAGATGTTAGCTCAGGGTAAATCTCCCTCAGATAAAAAAGAAATGCAGGGCTCAGGTCCCATCCCAGAGCTTCTGAATTAAAACCTGCATTTTGGGGCTGGTCTGGTGGTGTAGTGGTTATGTTCGTGCACCCCACTTTGGCTGCCCAGGGCTCATGAGTTTGGATCCCAGGCATGGACCTACACACTGCTCATCAAGCCATGCTGTGGTGGCATCCCACATACAAAATAGAAGACTGGCAATAGATGTTAGCTCAGGGCAGATCTTCCTCACCAAAAAAAAGAAGAAAAAAGTCTATGTTAAAAAAAATAATCAATAACGTAGCATCTAAAACACTTACTAGATCTTACTTCACGTAATAATATACTCAGGTGTAGTCAAAAATAAAATGATAGGGACCAGCCCAGTGGCACAGCAGTTAAGTGCGCACATTCCACTTTGGCAGCCTGGGGTTCGCCAGTTCGGATCCCGACTGCAGACATGGCACTGCTTGGCAAACCATGCTGTGGTAGGCATCCTACATATAAAGCAGAGGAAGATGGGCACAGATGTTAGCTCAGGGCCAGTCTTCCTCAGCAAAAAGAGGAGGATTGGCAGCAGATGTTAGCTCAGGGCTATTCTTCCTCAAAAAAATAAATAAATAAATAAAATAAAATGATAGTCAAACCCAAAAGAAAATGAACTCATATATATATATATATATATTTTTTTTCTGTCAGAGAGTCCCCTAGATTATAGTTGGAACAGTGAGAAGGAGGAGAAGTAAGTTATCTCTTCAAAAGAACTTGTGAGAAATGGCAGGCTTTTGCTGTACATAATTTGGTACTAAATCAGCTCTGACGCTGTATGAAGAACGAATTCCGCATACAAGATCTCCTCTACGTTTTCATCCCAACACTTCATGTTAACTCCTCTCTATCATCTGGAGATGTTAACTCGGGGATCGACAACCTGCAAGGACGGCTGAAGGACCTTAGATGAGACTTAAGGAGAAATGACGGCCGTGCTTAGAAAGAACACCACATTTCATGAACACCTACCAGACCCTCCGTACTTCTTCCCAAGAACCACGGAACCTGTCACAGGACACTGAGCAGCCGCAACAGGAGGGGTTGCTCCGCTGTGACTCACCCACAGGACACTGGGAAGTAACCACGGGCCCGGTGTGGACTGCTTCCAAGGGGCTGGTCAGCAGCTGGGTGCCTGCCTGGCCATCCTCACGGAGCACCCTGGTCTGAACACAAGTGTTCCTCAAGTTGCTTATAATAACTCAAAAGCCACAAGCACAGCCTGATGCTATCTGACATGACCTTTCTGTGGAGATCCAACCTCAGACCAAGCTTTCTCTTTTCGTTCTGCCTCATGATGGGAACACAGACTATAGCTGTGTTGGGAGGAGTTATTTACATTTCAAGGTAAATCAAAGAAACCCCATCATAAATGAGACACAGGAAATCCTGTACTTTGGGAAATCACTCTGTCCCAGGAGATAAACAAAAACGATTTTTAAGAAATGGTTGATGTTCGAATTCTGACTACGTCCTGAGTTCTAAGTGCTTCATAGTGACTATTTCATATTATCTTCATGACAATCTAATAATATGTTTGCACAGATGAGAAAAGAGGAAAAGAGAGAGAGAGAGTTACTTAAACTACCAAGTCTACACACTACAGAATGACAATGTTGGGATTCAGAGCCAGACCAGCTGGTTCCAGAGCCCAAGGCCCTTAGAGCACGCTAACATTCACCCTTGTAGCCCAAATATTTTATTTTCTGGGCTCTGTGAACTATGGCAGTAAACATCCTTCAGAGGAAAATAATTTTATAAGCTAGACCAAAATACACATGAAAGACCCAGGAAAAAATATACATAGCATTACTTCAGTTTCTTGAGCAACTTATAGTGTATGTATTTGGGATCAAGCTGATTTTTTTACATGCTACAGGTTGGAGGGGACTTGCTAAAAATTAGCAATGGTCTTAAAATAATTTAGGACAAACATTTTATTCAGAAAAGCCTTATTTTAAGCACTTTGGAAGCACTTATTTACAAATGATTACAAATCATCGTAAGTTTCCTGAGCAGATTACAGCGATGACTATTTTTAAGAACCACTGTTAGTTCAGCCTGAATAAGTCATTCAAGGACAAACATTTTAGAGCGTTCTTTCTACACCAGGTCATATGCTAGGTATTGAGGGATTACAGCATAAAGATGAGTTTCTGCCCTCACAGAATTCACCAACTACTCAATAAACGAGGTATGCACTATATCAACCAAGCAGTAATGATGTCCGCTTTTGAAATAGAATTCAAAATTTTTATTAAGTCAAATTTACCTTTCTTTCAATTGTATAAATCTCTGAGGTCTGTTTTTTCTACCACTAAGACCTATATATCTCTAAGTGCAAATATTCATTTTGACAGGTTGTCTGGTGGCCTTTAACCACAGCTGGCCCTACAGTGTTGGGTACCCCCATAGCACCTGGTTCAGTCACCAAGGGCAGAACCCCAGAGTCAGCCTGGGCTCCTCCCTTGGTCCCCATAACCCGTCAGTCAGCACGTCCTGGGGATGTCAGCTTCTCAAAATCCAACAACTCCTTGCCTCCTCTTCATCTTCCTTAGTTCTGGCCTTTCGAGACTTCTGCAATAATAAGATTTTCTTTTCCCTAAATAGAAACAGTTTTATTGGTTTTCCTGATCAAAATAGAAATATATCCCCATGTTGAACTTTTTTCAGACCATAGAGAAAGATATTAAGAAAGATGTCAACCATTATCTTACCACCTGGAAATAACCACTACTAGTGGGCTTTTTTTTCTAGACTTATGGATCTTTTTTATCCTCAAACCAAAATTGGATCCTACTATATCTACTCTTTTGTGTTCTTCTTTTTTCACTTACACAATGTGCCACAGGTATCTTTCCGGGTTAATAACCACAGCTCATCACTGCTTGTCAAAGCAGCACAACACTTCAGTGCCTGAATTCATTCCATCAGCTGGGATGCCCCACGGCTCTGGTCTGCCAGCAGCGCTTTGTGGAACTAACC